GACAGTCACTGTCAATCAGGTCTTTGCACGCAGCTTCAAATCACACAAAGAAAGTTGACATTCACAACAACCAAAAGCCGGTGATGATAAATCTCTGGCTGAGTGTTTGGAGCTGCCTCTTCATCCTAAGAGCTGATGGAGTGCTCAACACGGGCTGTCAGTCCTGTTTACTAGAGACCGTTTCCTGTTTCCTCATCTCCTTGTACTTGGTGGCTTAGGTTGTTGCTTTGTGTCCTTGTGAATGAAACGGCTGTCGTTGCTGCACTCAATTAGTTTCCTGTCCATAGTTTCACAGTTCATCTCGTACCCGTTTCCATTTATTTATTTAGCGCTTCTGAAGTGAAAGCTGGCAGGTAAACAGTTGGTAATTAGGAGCTGTGAAATGTCATGTGATGTAATCGGTTTGCACTTCTCAGGGATCAAAGAGGGCAACTCGCCACTTTGTTACATCAGGGCACCAACAAATGAAATCAACCCTCAAAACGTTTCACATCTACGGCATTTAGCTGATCCTCTTATCTTGAGTGACTGAACACTTTCCCATCCAGCAGCATTGCAGCCAACCTTTATTATGGAGAATAGATTGGAGCCACAGCTCGACCATTTCTCCACGACCTCACCATAATCACGAAGAAGAAAACCAATTTTAATTCAAGTGGATTTCAAAAAAGTACATTTTGACGTAAGTTTGGTACGGGCTATGTGTGGTGGATCGCTCCAGTGTTTTAGTGCCACACGTGATATCAGTTATCCGCTTCAGCATTCGTAGAAACATTTCTCTGCTTAAAGATCTTTGTGATTGTTTGGTGTTCTTTCTACTGTTGTGTCTCCTTAAAGAGCCAAAGGGAACGATCTCTCTTGATTATTATCCACGTGCATTTATTGAGCAAACACTACACGAAAAACATGCACATGGCATCTATGGTTATTTAAAGCTGAGGTACACAGTTTTCTGGAAATGGGTTAAAGTACATCCCTCCCCCTGCCCCTCCCACCAGACAAGCTCGGTCTGCTCCCACCAAGTTGAAGTTCTCCCCATCTCGAAAGTTCTTGTGTTTATTGTCAGACTATCTATTTAGATTCTCTTTTATGATAAGTCCGTCTTCCTAATTTGGGTTGCTTTGTAGTGTATGTAGGTTGTGTTGTTGCCAATGCTGGAATAGGAACTTTTTCTGCAGTATTTCCCGCCATTGAAACAGCCATGCACATCTGGATTTACAGAACAACCAATAGGAACGCTCCCTCTCTAAAATGACCTGTGATTGGCCAAAGTCTCCTGTGAGTGGTTAGATTTTTCTAAAAGCCTGAAAATAGTGCAAAGAGGAGGTGCAGGAGTCTGGTTTTCTATTAGACCACTTCAATAACAATATGCAGAAAGGTTATTATGGATGTTTTGACCAATGACACCAATAATAAACTGCTGACCCTAGCTTTGAGGAACATTTTGAAGCGTGGGGTGTTGAGTTTAGGTAGCAGTTCCCAAGCTTTAGGGCATGTGAACCCTTAGATATAAAGCCACGCCCACAGGTGGTTTTACTCTTAAGGGCGTGGGAATGAGTTGAGAGCAGTGATTTATTCCTTTTTATATTCCTATAGTCCTATTTAGAAGTCTAACGAGATGAAAGTATCCAGGATAAAAGCAAAAAAATAGTTCCTTTAACAGATCCTCCCTTAATCGTCTTGTGACCGCTCAGACTTGTCTTGTGACTCTTTTGTGGGGAGGTCCCAAACCCAAAGCCCAGGCTGTGAACCAGTGGGGTAGAGGATGAGGATGAGTACCTCTCTTTAAGCCTGAATCGATGCCATCAAGGCTCACAGTACATGAAGAAAAGATAGCTGTCGAAATCATTGCTAAACATGAATTAAGTTATGTTTCTGGTGTTTAAAAGTGCTTTCTTGGAGCCTTTCTTTATTTAACCAAAGATATGAACACATGGTCATGAGGCAGGTGTGATGTGATCATAGAACATGATTGATAAAAGCAGAGCGTCGGCTCAGGTCCTCAGTGGGATTGTGGGAAACAGTTGCTGCCTGACGATGCGTGATGATGAATCAATACAGTTACTGTTCACCACACTATCACAGCATGGCAGCTGCCTCCACTGGTATCTGATGCTGTTACTGAATGCCAGACGTTTGGAGCTTTTAATAGTAATAAATATGCCTCTTAATGCAGACTAATTTAATTATATTTGGATATAATAGCTTTTAAAGCTGCACATAAGCTGATTAATTGGCCACTTTACATAATTGGCAACAACTTTAATAATGAATTAATTGTTTTGAGCCATCATCAAAGCAAAAATGCCCCAAATTATCTCGTTCATTTCTCAGATATAGAATATTTGTTTATCTAGTCTTCTACGGCTCATAAATTGAATATTCCTTGGGTTCAGGGCATAAAACGATTAATCTTTAATGATAATAATTTATCTATTTCTGTAAATGTTTAAATATAATCACATTTTTCTGCTTGAATCAATAGCATTTGATTTATTTAATCATCTCTTGGTCTCTTTGTTGTGTTCATAGAAAAGCAGATTTCAGTCTCTGAGATAAACACAGTAATGAGGGTTCATTTCACATCTGACTCCCAGATCACAGATCTAATGATGTTTACAGATGTGGAACAGGATCAGGAGGACGGGTTAACCACCCAGATGTGCAGCTATAACCCGGCTCCTTACTGCTGCTTTTGACCACAGTTACATGAAAATAATGTGCAGTTCGGCCCCAACATGATTCAAGCAAACACAGAATGTAAATAAGCTCCTGGTAGCTGAGCAATTACATTATTGGAACATATTCACACGAGGACGTGAGCGACAACAGCAGTTATTGCCTCTTCCTCCCTGAGACGATGAAGAAACAAATTCAGTTTCACAGCAATAATGTTTGCTTTAAATGTGCTGCTGTCCTAATATTTGGCATATTTTGCCCTCATTAGGCTGCTGACAGGCAGGAAATAAGGCTCTGTTAACTGATGCAGATAAACGGTATTCAACGTGACTATCAGGACATCGCTGATATCTGACGGTGAACCGAGATAACAGTGTTTCCAACATGATGGTGAAAGTGGGTCTTGTGTTGCAGTGGAGGCTGTCTGTTTAATATAGTGTCTGGCTTTCACATCACTGGTGTCCTCGCATGACCTGAATGCAGCAGCCTCAGTTCAGCTCTGAACTAGACTCAACTCACAGGTTGTTTTCATCTTTTATCCTTTAT